GATGTGCTGTGTACACATGCATTTTTAATGAACAAATTAAGATGGCCAACAACGCCACTTGTCAAATGAAAAGTGGAATTCCTCCACCACGCACATCACTGTAACCAAAGTTTCATCATTTCCAGGTTAACTATAAATGGGCTCCACTGTAATCAGAAGTCGGTATTTTTCAATAAAAAGCAGGATGACATAAACCAAACTGCTAACAAGGGAACATCTTGGAATAAGAGTTGCTGTTGGGACCCCATCCAACTACCAATGGGTATTTGTAACCTGAAGCGTTTTCTGATCACCTTTTCAAACTTGTTCATAATGTGGACCACATCTTAATAGAAATATCAGCTCACACCTCTCTTGCCATTCACAGTTACTGAAATCAAGGAACATCCCCGTGACAACTGTGTACATGGAAAAGGAATAAGACGACAGTATGGTATTTTTATTTTCTTTGAATGTGAAATAGCATCTGGAAATGAGGAGTCAGCACCATGCACCCAGCCAGCTCTTTGAGGCTCACTAATAAGTCCGCCACAGACCAGTTAAGTTGTTTTATTCAGTGGGAACGACTGAACTAGGCAAGCTACGAGTGGTTTACATTATCTGCATGGTCTCACTGGGGTCTACACAGAGATACTACTACACAACACTCATTTCTTTTATTCGTCCTAGAAACCTTCCTTACCCCCTTCTATATCACATGCCAGTTTGACCCTATGCTGTGTCCTTGTCACTCAATTTATCCCCACTCTTTTTTTATTTTATATCTGAAAACCCTGGCCTAACCAAAGCTTTGTGGTTAGAATGCTTTGATTTACCTTACTAAAGAGAACTATAATTTAGCACCAAATACTCATGAGGAATTATAGCTCTGCTGACTGGCAAATCATTTGCCAAGGCAGATTAGTTTAGCTGCATAAAACAAATATCCACCTGCACATTCTAGCACTAATCAGGGCGTGAAATTAAACTTTTTATTCAGTGGGAAATAACTGCTGCAAGGCGGCGATTTAGTATGGGAAGCAAATATTAAGGTCAGCCTATTCTCTCTGATGTTTATAGTATATATAATAAGGGGGAAGGCATGGAGCACCAAATTCTGCTTTTAAGTCTATGAAACTAAATACTTCAACGATGCAATAACAAATTTTCCATTTGCTTTTATAATTGCATACATTTAATGGAGCAAAGTGGCTAAAATGAAAAATTAAAAGAAGAGTAGGGGTGAGTTAGTGAAGTACCTAAAGCTCGTACCAACCGTAGAAAAAACTGCAGCCAAAAGCACGTGGTGAGAGTAGAAGAAAGGAAATCAAGGTTTGTTTATATATATATATATATATATATATATTAATTACACACACACACACACACACACACACTGATTCCAGCAAACCCACAAACTGAAGGGAAAAAGTGATTACGATGTAGTTAACTTAAACCACTAAGTAGTCATTTAAAATGCAAAAAAAACCCTGCAACTCTGTATTTAACAACCAGCTGCTTTATATAATTATACTTATCACAGACTCATACAAATGTTGGGCTGGAAAGGACCTGGAGAGATCATCTAGGCCAGCCTCCTGTGCTGATGCAGGACCAAGTAACTCCAGACCATCCCTAATAGGTGTTTGTTTAGCCTGTTCTTAAAAACATCCAGTGATGAGGATTCTACAACCTCCCCTGCAAGCCTATACCAGAACTTAACTACCCTTATTTTTAGGCACAGCAGGAATCAACAGATATCAGCGTTTATTTTAAGCATTTTTAAAGATTGTTATCAATTTAATTTTCACAGTTGCACAAAATTACGGGTTTTAAGATTCTTTTCTATTTTTACATCAGTTTTCACAGTTGCAGTAAATTATGTGGGGGGAGTCGGGCAATTATTTAATGACAGTAGACTTGGAGATTCAAAAACTGAAAACCTGAGAACCATTAAAAAAAACAAACTGTCAACATCACGTCGAAATATATGAAGTAAATATCCTTAAATCAAACTCTAATACTTTCTCAGGCAACATTTTTTTTTACTGCCTAGCTGTAAATTTCAATTATTGATGGAAGTATTTTTTTCCTCCATTTGTGTGCGTACGGTGAAATTGACGTTTATTGACATTTACCAATAATCTAATCCTTCCAAGCCTACTTATAATTAGAAAGTTTTTCCTAATATCTAACCTAAATCTCCCTTACTGGAGATTAAGCCCATTACTTCTTGGTCTATGTTCAGTGGACACAGAGAACAACTGATCACAGTCCTCTTTATAACAGCCCTTACCAGATTTGAAGACAGTTATCAAGTCCCCCCCTCAGTCTTCTTTCTCAAAATTAAACATGCCCAGGTTTTTTTAACCTTTTGTCATAGGTCGAGTTTTCTTAACCTTTTATCATTTTTTGACTGTCTCCAATTTGTCCACATCTTTCCAAAAGTGGGGTGCTCAGAATTGGACACATTACCCCAGGTCAGACCTCAACAGTGCTGAGTAGAGCAAGACAATTATCTTCTGTGTCTTACATATGATACTCCTGTTAATACACCCCAGAATGATATTAGACTTTTTTGCAATGGCATCACACTGCTGACTCATACTTAAGGCTATGTTTTAGTTACGAGTATTTTTAGTAAGAAACATGGACAGGTCACGGCAGTAACCAAAAATTCATGGCCTGTGACTGTCCATGACTTGTACCATATAGCTCCGACTAAAACTTGGGTCACGGAGGCTGCTGGTGCTCGGGGGGGAGGGAGGGAGAGCCGGCGTCTGGGGGCTTCACAGGTGCTGGGGGTCATGGCCCAGGACCCCTGCTGGTGCTGGGGGGAGGTGAGGGGCAGGCGGGTGATGGTGCGCGGCCCAGGAATCCTGCTGGTGCTGGAGGAGGGGAGGGCTGGCAGGCTTCCTACCCGGCTCCTCTTGTCCCTGCAGCTCCTAAGGAGAGGGAAGGCCACGGAGGGCTCCATGCGCTGCCCCCACCACGAGCTCCAGCTCCGCAGCTCCCATTGGCCGGGAACCACAGCCAGTGGGAGCTGCGGGGGCAGCACGCAAAGCCCCCTGGCCCCTCTGCCTAGGAGCTGCAGGGACACGCTGGCCACTTTTGCAGAGCCCCCACCACCACCGAGGTAAGCACCTCCCCACACCCCAATCCCCTTCCCCAGCCCTGAGCACTATTATGCCCAGATCCTTTTCAGCAGTACTACTGCCTAGCCAGTGAGGGCTAGTCTACACCGGCAATGCTTTAACATGGCTTGTGTAGTCGCGGCAGAGCGCTGGGAGCGCTCTAAAAAACCCATCTCCATGGGCTTTTCTACACTAGCGCTTTACAGCGCTGAAACTTGCTGCGCTCAAGGGGGTGTTTTTTCACCCCCCCCGAGTGAGAAAGTTGCAGCGCTGTAACGTGCCTGTGTAGACAAGCCCTTAGTCCCCATTCTGTAATTGTGCATTTGATTTTTCCTGCCTAAGTGAAGTACTTCACACTTGTCTTTATTGAATTTCACCTTGTTGAATTCAGACCAATTCTCCAATTTGTCAAGGTCATTTTGAATTCTAATACTGTCCTCCAAAGCGCTTGCAACACCTCCCAGCTTGGTGTCATCCGCAAATATTATAAGCATACTCTCCACTCCATGATCCAAGTCATTAAAAATATTGACTAGTACCAGATTCAGGACTGACACCCCCCGGGACCCCACTAGATACACCCTCCCAGTTTGACAGCAAACCACTGATAGCTTCTCCGCGTACAGTCTTTCAACCACTTTCATTTAAATTCTAAGGCCAGAAGAGATACGGTGATTATCTGCTCTGGCCTCCTGTCTAACACAGGGCACAGAACCTCCCCAAAATAATCCTTAGAGCAGATCAGTTAGAAAAACCTCCAATCTTGATTTAAAAATTGTTAGTGATGGAGAATTCACCATGGCCCTTCGTAAATTGTTCCAATGGTTAATTACTCTGTTAAACATGTATGCCTTATTTCTAGTCTACATTTGTCTAGCTTCCAGCCATTGGATCGTATTAGACATTTCTCTGCTAGACTGAAGAGCCCATTATTAAATATGTGTTCCCTGAAGGTATGTCTACAATGCAATAAGCACTCAGGCCTAACCCCACTTACATCTACAAATGAATCGTGCTAACCCTAGGCTTGGGCATGCGACCCTGCGGGAGTAGAGAGTCCGAGCCAGAATCAAGCTGGGACACAAGGTCAAGTCCTATTCCTCTGCAGTGTTGGCGCAACCCCGCTTGACTTGTGTCCTGGGAGTCCACCAGAAGTCGCTAACTTCCTTAGGCTTGGTCTACACTACCCCCCTAATTCGAACTAAGGTACTTCGACTTCAGCTACGTTATTC